TTGGCTCATTGGTGAACTCACCGCTGGAAAAAAGAATGATTGACACATACAATCGTCTTTCCATCGCTTAATTTACGAACGGTTTGCTGCAAGCGCTGGATACAGCGTTGAATAAAAGAACACGCCTACACCTACCTCTACTTTTGTGATATTGGTACTTGATTTCAAGAACATTTTAATAATAAATTTATATAAATATTTTGTTTTATTTGAAATTTTCATGTCTCGATTGAGATTTTTACTATAGCCTCAATTTCAGCCTCTCTGTATTACATTACACAAAGTGTGTCCACGGATGGACTTAATTATACTTGTAAAAATATTTATTTTAAATTAAAAAAAAGTTATTTTTCATAATTTCTCAATGTGAATCGAATTTATTTAACAAGCAAAAGAAATTATAAAGAATTACTTTTTAATTTAAAATAAATATTTTCACAAGTAGTGGACACACTGTATAATGCTGTAGAACTAATTCACTTTATAACATCTATAGAACGTTTCAGAGCAACTTTGGGGTAAGTACCGTAAAAGTGCTAGTGTGATGTTTTTCGAACTTCACTTCATCTGTGAGATGTGCTATAAAAGTCTTGCCGTTGCGGACATTCGGCAGTTGCAGGGATATTAAAAGTACATCGCATGCAAGTTTAAAGAGCCTAAAGTTGCAGCTTATTAACGTAGATGGGATGTTTTTGTGCTAGCTGGGTCTGATATGTGCCAAAATTCAAACTCTAGACAGTAATAGCTGAGATGTGTATCAGGATTCATAATAATAATTTTCACACAGCAGATATATTACAGCACTGGCGTATTTGCGGGTGGGGCCTAGGAGGCCCGGCCCCCCCAGAACCTCCCCAGAAGTACTTTAAATAATTATAACCTAAAATAAAATACCTATAAACAATTAATAATTAACATTTTGAAATAATAAAATAAATTAAATAAAAGTGGCAACTATGCCGATTATTATAATAACAGCGCGAGAAGACCGTGGCTTAATTAGTTTTTCTTTAGCCACGCCACGTGCATTGTGCAGTTTTCTTAAACTGATTTGTGTTTGTGATGTCAGAAAAACGAAAACTCAGTACTAATAAAAGCATTCTTGATTTTTTCTCGAAGTCAAAAACTGGTAAGTAGATAAGTATAATAATATGTCTAGTGAATTTAAAATTTAGAGTTAGATTGGAAACATGACAGCAAGTCGGAGATCCAGAATTACTCGGTTCGTTTCGTATAAATAAAGCCTTCTGGGTTGGGTGGTTCTTTATCGTTGGCCGCGGTCCGCGGTAAGTATTTAGGAGTGGGAGCCGAGCCACACCGCACACTGTTGCCACGTTCAAAAAATTTTACCACGAAAACACGAACTTTGTATAAATTATTAATAAAACTTTTTAGTTACAAATATTGGGTACAACTGAACGTTATAAAATTAATTTTGGAAAATTTCGGTATTTACTTATATATTATAGTTGAATGAGATAGCAAGAGCAGGTGCTGTTTTTTTAGAACTCTGTATGGAAAACTTTTTACAAATACAATATTTGTTGAGTTATAATGAGTTCTTTTTTTTTTCAGAAAAAGAGGCTAGTAACATTATTGTCACGAGAAAAAAGTTCCGATGCTACCTAAATCACTCAGCCGATAGAGTCAACTAAAGAGCATAAATCCGGAGCTTAAGTAGATAGGAAGTATGATATTGTAAATTTTGTAAATAAAAAACTTGAAGATGCAGTTATTATGGATGTCTTGGAAAATATATGGACTCCTCGGGCTCTGTTTGAGTTTCCTTATACGTCCACAACTAATAAAAAAAGAAGAACATTTTGTTTTTATTGGCTACAATAGTTTAGATGGTTAACTTATTCACCAACGGTTGATGGAGCCTATTGTAAATTCTGCGTTCTATTCGCTCCAGCAGAAGCTGGAACAAACAGTCAACAGCTTGTGTAACGTTCATTTTTGGCCCCACGAATTAATAAAATTGTTTTGGCTTACCTGGTTAATCATACGAAAAAAAAAAAGGGTAAAATCGTATTGATATATCACTATTATTTTTGTCATTAACTAATTTCACCTGTATCCTAACTTTCGGACATCATTATTATAATTTATTTCATCTCACCACTAAGTAAAAGGATAGTAGTTCTCCTAAAAATAGACCAAGTTTCGTTGTAAATTTATACATATTATGTATTATAGTCTCACCTTTGGGTAATTAATTATTTACGATACCATTCTTTAAGATTTTCTTTGTTTATTTTTGTTTATAGCTGTCAGTGTTGGATTAATGTTTTTTAATTATGACAGTGAATGACATAAACGTTATTTGACGACAGAACACCGACAAGTGTCATGTTGGTGGGACGTTCCAATATCGGGCTCAGAACCCGAGGTAAGGTAGTTTCACAATGAGCGATTTTAAGTCGTGAGGGATTTTTTTGCGATCGCTGTTTATTAATTTTTGTTGGGAACAGTTTCCCAAATGTAGTTATACTGTATATAAATATAGTTTTTAGGGTACCTTTCGTAAATGGTCTCTTAAGTTATATAGTGGGGAATTCTTGAGGATGAATTTCTGAACCCACTTGGCTTGAAATTTATGGGAAAGGGATTTCGGCCATTTTGGACGGCTGACGTATTTTTTTAGTCAGTGGGTATTGAAAACGAGAAGGACGAATTTTGCGTCGAAGTAGAATTTTCTTAATATTTAGCCCCATCGGCTTACCCTAATTAAAGGGGATTTTAGATTCTACTTCATGGTTAATTGTGGGTAAATAGACATTTCGTATTTTGAGAGGAATTTTAATGTATTGGTAAATTCCTATAGTCATTGGTCCAGCCCATATCTATTATAGGATTTTTAACTCAATAATTGGAAGTTCACAGCATTTGGAGTGTGGAATATTGTTGTGCTGTGGATCATCTCACGTGTTTCTCCTCCTTGGAAGGCTACCAAGTTAACCCTTTACGAAAAAGGTATGTTTTGTATATATTTGGTTATGTTACCATCCATGTGGCTGGCAATTTCTTTTATGTTGTGGCATGGTGTAACAGAATTTTAATTATTTGAGCTCATAATACTGTTTATGACTCACTGTTGAGCCAATGTAATTTTTCTTCATCCTAGATGCTAAATAGTTTCTAATTTATGTACATTTTTTGGTAATCCTATAGTTCGGGATACTTGAGTCAATGTGTATTGACATTTTTCTTTGTAATATTTTAAGGGTTTCACCCAGGGGGTTGTTAACCCAGGATATGACAACAATTTTCACCCAGGGGGTTGTTAACCCAGGATTCGACAACAATTTTCACCCAGGGGGTAGCGACTCAGGATTTCAACAGTTGTACACAGAGGGTTATATCGTCCGGAGTTCAACGGTTTCATCGAGGGAACACAGAACATTGGTATGCTAGCTGCCTAGCTTACTTGTAGCTAGATTTACAAGGATAATTCTCGTTCTGGATAGGAAGATGGGAATGCTGTGAAAGAAGACACCCTACTATCAGGTTTTTCTTATACGTTATATTGAAGGTTTCATGCGTGCATTGTTAAACTATACATTCACTTTCAACCGAATGTTGTCAAGGTATTCTCAACATTATTTATACTTTTGAGCACAGAATGTTCTAGGGTTCTTTCACTCATAACTTAAGTATTATCAAATGTTACATCGTTTAATTGATTAATATTTTAAATTTTTACTTAATTTAAGCACTTAATGCTGATGTAGTAATCCTTCGGGTCGCAGAACACTTGGACTGCTTCCACGTTTAAGTTGTAATTCTTCAGTTATTAAGGGCCACTGCCATAATTTTACTTTATTCAATTTATTCATTATTAAATGGTCCAGACTTAACGATTAAGTTAAGCAATCTCAGAAGACCCGTGTGGGGGCAGAGATTAAGTAACCTCTTCCAACCTGGGAGTTTAAGTAAATAACCTCTGTGTCTGAAGTCCTTTGTGTATCTTTGTATTTTTATTTTTTTTTTGATATTTTTATTTAGTTTTATGAATTATACTTAATTATAAAATTTCATGGTTTAATAATTTTCTTTTGGGTAGTTTGGTCTTAACTAAAAGTTAAGCAGGTATCGCCTTCCAATTTGGAGAGGGTTATAAGCTTATAAGGATTATAAGTTTATTGTTTAGTTTATAATATATGATGTAGTATAGGTGCGGTTATGCGCAAGATTTAAGTTAACTATTATTTTATATTTTATTTTTTATGTAAGGTGGAAATTAATATTTTGCGCATGCGTCATGCCTGGTACCAAGCTAACGACGAACCGTGCCATATTTTGATTTAATAATTTATTTTGGGTTATGCATATACATATACAGTGTAAATTTTCCCTTTAATTTCCTCCAATTTTTTGTTGATTACCTAAGCCATTAGGTAATTAGTCTGTATATTTAGTAAATATTTTTTTCTTTATAAAGGAACATAAGTTGAGGTTTGTCTTTTATTTCTTTCCTCATTTACTGGGTTTTTGGGGAAATAGGATCATAGTTTGGCCACTATATAGACCCAGTTGGCGCCTATTTATTTGTCTACTATTTCCGGAATTATTGTAAGCTATCCACCCCCTAGCTGCCGTCTGAGCGACGTCGAGGGCCCGAAGGTTGACACCGGAACAACCGAAACTTGTGTAACCGTAGTAGACAACATTTTTAATTGTAGTTAATACTTTAATAATTTATTTTTTGTTTAAAAATTTTGGTGGAATCACCAAGTTCATTTCTTAGGTTACACTTGGGTTATTTGTAAAAAGACCATACCATATGTGGAAAAATGCCCTAGAAGACATTCGTGAACATAAAAAAAAATTATCATGCCCAGGTTATTTTTAGGTCTAATGACTTTATGAAATTTATGAAAGGACAGTAAGCTTTACTTGACATAATTATAAATTCGGAGAAAGAAAAGCAAATTCAGGCCAATAGGCAAAATTTGATCCCTATAATTAAAGCAATCATTGTTTGTGGTCATCAAGAAATGCCTTTACGAGCCCATCGAGATAACGGACCAGTAAACATCAAACTGAAAGATGACAAAATTAATCAGGGCAATTTCAGAGCCGTTCTAGCATATAGAGCCAGAGCCGATGGAAACCTGAAACAAATGTTACGAGGAGAAGGACAACGTAACAAATATATAAGTCCAGGAATTCAAAATGATATTGCAGCCTCCGGTAAAGCCATAATTGATGATATTGTCTGTAGAATAAATAAAGCTAAGGCGTTTTCAATACTAGCTGACGAAACTGCTGATATTTCTATTTCTATTGGAGTGAAGTACTATGACTGTATAGAAAAAGTTATTCGTGTAGACTTTTTAAAATTTAACTGGCCAGGGGTTAGCAACTACTATTGTTTCAAAACTAAAAATCCTTGACATCGATATGCAGTACCTAAGAGGCCAAGGTTACGACGGAGCATCCTAAATGTCTGGCTATTTAAATGGTGCTCAAGCTGTTATTGCACAAACGTACAAGATGGCACCATATGTTCATTGTATGGTTCATGTATTTAATTTAGTAGTTACAGATGCATGCGGCATACCCGCTATTAGAAATGATTTGGGTACAATTCAAGAGATAAGGAATTTTTTATTTCACCAAAAATAAGATCAGATAGATCAACTAGATACTAACGCTCAAGGGTTAAAACGACTTTGTCAAACAAGATGGATCGAGCGATTTCACGCTGCTGACAATTTTATAGAACTATTTAATCCCGTTATTAGAAGTTGGCCAGATAATTCGGTATCCCGAGCAGCATTTGCATTTATAAACACATTAACATCTGCATAATTTCTAGTTGCAATTATTATAGTGCAACATTTATTTTCTTATGGTCTACCTTTGAGTAAATCTTTACAAAGTAAAAATATAGACGTAATAGCAGCTCTTCATCAGGCATGCAATCTTACCACGGTATTGGAAAAGATGAGAGCTGCTGCTGATTTAGAATTTAAAAAACTTTTTCGAAAGGTCCAAAATCTAGCTAGCGATCATGACGTAGATATACAGCTACCACGACTGGTAAATAAACAATGTCATGGCGCAAATCCAAAAGTGAACGATCTGGAAGAATACTATAGAATAACCGTTTTCATGTTATTCTTCGATTCATTTTTAAGGACGTTAATGGAAAGATTTCAGGCTCATCGTAATTTGTTTAGCGGATTTTCTAGTCTACTGCCCCCTTCTCATGAGAAACTACAAACATGGACTGATGGTCTCGATAGTCTAATTACTTATTATGAGCAGGACGATATGCTGGAAGGAAAAACTGCACTTCAGGCGAAATTTCATTTATGGTATCAGACCATCGAGACTGATTTTGTTAAAAATAAAATTTGTTTGCCTTCAAATTCTGTAGAAGCCTTAACAAGATGCAATTGAATGCTCTTTCCCAATATTTCTAGACTACTACAATTGCTTGCGACATTACCTCTTTCAACTGAAACTTCGGAAATGTCATTTTATACCTTAAAGCGTCTTAAAACGTACCTTCATAATACAATTGGACAGATAGTTAATATTACATAAAAATATAATTTCTTACAAATTAAGTTATGTTTTTGTTTTTTTACAGAATCGGCTTAATGGATTAGCGGTTTTAAGTGTACATAGAGAACATGAAATAAATTTGCATTTTGTCCTGGATCACCTAGCTAGGCAAAAAGATCGGCGTATTTTATTATAAAAATTTACATAGCGTACATTTTAATAGCGTACATAACATTAAACACAGTTTGGGACAATTTATTTGTTTTTTAATGTTTTATATTAGGCCCCCTAGATGAAAATCGTAAATACGCCACTGTATTGCAGAATCAACGACAATATATTAGCCTAATTGGCTTTGACACATCAGCAATTTTTCGATAGCTTAGCTGTAGTGATTAGAGAGTTATTGACTTTATTAAAGATTGTGCCTGTCCTTAATTGTGGATGTTTAAGGGCAGCAGTGACTTTATAGCTTTCGGGTGTACTCGCCGACATTCGTATCCGTTCGAAGTTTTTTAATATTAAATATTTAATATAATCGTCATCTAAAACTTCTAAAATTGAATATTGAATATTATGTACTATAGACAACAAGAAAGATGAACTATAATTTAAAGTTATTAAAATGAGGTTAGAAATAAGTATAAGGATAAGAATTTTAATGTCAAAACTTCAGGTTTGCAATAAGTCTGATATTAGCATGGAATTTATTTAACTCTAATTACGATGTCACTATTAGTGGCTGACGTTATAGAAATTTGCAATATCTCTCCATTAACACAAAAATAATTAAAATCCGATTTTATTTAGGTACCTCTTTACTTTAAGGTTACTGGTTTATAAAACTAATTGCGAAATAAAAATTGAATATATTAATACAAGATAACACAGAACTAAAAACAGAACAAAATAGAAAAGAAAATAGTAATAGAGTAAGTAAAGAAGATGGGGGATGTAACCCAAACATACTGCGATGGTTGTATACTGCAATAGTGAGACCAATCATCACTTACCGGGCTATAGCCTGGAGTAACAGAACTAGTCTAGCTACTACGAGAGTTAATATCTCAAAAGTACAAGGACTAGCCTGTGTTTGCATTACTGGTGCAATGAGAACCTGTTCTACGGCCGCAATGGAGGTGATCTTAAACCTCACCCCTCTACATTTGATGATAGAGAATGTGGCAAAAAGGACACGATATAGAATGATCAGGAACGGAGTAATCAGACAAAAGTCTACTTGCTTCAGGACTAAAGATACCTGGGACATGCTTCAGGATGAAATGCTAAAGAAGTACAGTTTTGTGAGAAACTTCAAAACCACAGAGCTGGGCTGCAAGAAAGAATGGAGCCAAGAATCCATCGCGCTTGCAACCGAAAGACGTGCTATTCAGTGGTATACGGACGGTTCCAAAACCATAGAAGGAACTGGAATATGAGTGTATGGGCCGAGAACCAAGCACTCCGAAAGCTTGGGAAAATACCCGAGCATCTTCCAGGCGGAAATTCACGCCATCGAGGTGTATCCAGTTTAATATCGAGAGAAACTATCATAGACAAGAGATTATCATCATGTCCGATAGTCAAGCAGCCATCAAAGCGCTGAGCTCTTACGTAATCAGCTCAAAAATGGTCTGGAAATGCCGAGAACAATTGAATGATCTAGGCGAGAAAAATAGAGTTACTCTCACTTGGATTCCGGGACATAACGGGGTACAGGGTAACGAGATTGCAGATAGTCTTGCAAGAAAAGGGGCTCAAACACCCTTTGTAGGACCTGAGCCGTTCTGCGGCATCAGCAGTAACATATTATTAGGAGAGATTAAAAAAGAATTGGGCAGTAAAAGAACCGATAATTGGAACAATCTCTTGAGGCTGAGGCAAGCCAAGATACTTCTGGGTGAATATAACCAGAAAAGATCGGAAGCCTGCATCTGCCTCAGCAAGAACAGGCTACGAATTGTAACAGGGATCCTTAGCGGGCCTTGCCGACTAAAACACTGAGAGTAGTAGATGATAGTGAGTGCAGATTCTGTGAGGAGGAGGACGAAACTTCTATTCACATCCTCACTGAATGTGTAGCACTCCAGAATCCAAGGGCGCTATACCTAGGAGGATATCAAATAGAAGTGGGCAGAGACAACAGAGACGTGTAACTTAATAGGAAAATATGTTCGGTGGTCCATTTAAATTACATATATGACCCTCTTTTTCTTTTACATTGATCTTTACATATGTCTATCTCTCTCCAATAAAACTAACACCATTTTCAGAGGGCGCTGGTGTTGCTGGTTGCTGATTAAAAGTATTAAAACTGACAACTGACAATGTTATGAATGTTGTTATGAACATGTGCATTTTATTAAAATTAATTTAATTTGGGCCCCGTATATTTCGTTGAGTCTGATTTTGTTGTTTAATTAATTTTCTTTGGGGGGGAATGTTTATTTTTGCATATTATTTTTTGCATGAAGCAATTTCTGGAACCAAACTCGCGTTTTTGTACACATTTCTTTCTAGAGGTAAGTAATTTCCAATTTATTAAGAAAACCACTGTATAATGTGTGTGTTTAATAATATATTACACAATGACTATAATTATTTTAGGTGAATTGGAACATAGATCCATTGTTACAGCTACTTGTGTTCATTAAGTAGGTAGATGAATGTCTGGACAGCTTTAATGGCAGCACAAAGTTCCTATCTATTAGAAAAGTAAAATGTATGCTGAGTAAAAAATCTGCACATGTAGTATTGGCAAAGGACTTTTGAAATGATTAGAGATTGGCTATTTCTTACATACACCTACCTCTAATAGCCACTCTAAAGGAAAAAAAAATTGAATCACAAAAGGGCAGAATTTTAAATCAGGATGCATTGGAAAATAAATTTGGGGACATCAGGTCGGTTTTGGATTTTAGAGAGAGAGAGCAATCTCAAGAAAAGTTTAATTAATCCTGCAGAACAACCAGTAGTTTAAGTAGGATTTGCTATAACTTTATTAGAAGATTTCCTTGACAATAAATTGTAATATACCAATTGTTTCAAATGAAATTGAAAAAGAGAAATTAGATTTTTCATGGGTAAAATGTTATATTCATTCAAACATTGTAAGGTAATCTGTAATAAAGGGAATGTGGAAAATAGGTATACCCTGGTAGTGTAAGAGACAGGTAAGGGGCAATGACAAAAAAATTACAAAAATGTATTCATCTTTAAATAGTGTTTATTATTATTTATTATTTGGAAAAGGTCCACCTAGTAACCAAATTAGGAGACTAGGAAAACTTTTACATGACTGCGGACACAACAGGAATGCACACGCACAAGATACACAAACAAACGAAATAACAGGGGTAAGCCTTCAGCAATGTCCTGTTTAAATGATGATAGTATGTCATCCTTCATTCCCTTTTAGAAGGCATGGCAACTTACATGTGTGTTTATTTCGTTTCCATGGTTTCTATTAAAATAAACAGTCATAACATATCCATACCTTTTTGCCAGACTAATGTAAGCGACATTTGTTCAAATGGCACTTATGATAGTCTGGCAAAAAGGTATCGATATACTCTATACTTAATAAAATATTTGTTACATTAGTTTTTAAATATATTTTGAATATATAACAACTGTTACTTTCTTTGTAATTTGTCACAAAATGATAGGAGGTACTTTCTAAAGGAAGCAATTGTAGTTTGTTTTTCTGTACCTTACAAAAATATAATTTATAGAAAAAGAGTTTGGTGTATTATTTTTCCAAGTTTAAATATTTAATAATAAATAGAATTTTCAAGTTTTTTTTTAGTGAAATTTACAAGAGTAATAAAAACTATGTTCACTGCTTATATTAAACTGATTAAAACTTTCTTTATTAAAATTATTATTTAAATGATAAAAAAATTGATGTTATTGGAAGCTTTAATATTTTTTAATATACAGTGAAACAATAGTTTTTGTCTCTCCTGTAAATTTGTATAGAAAAACTATTTATTTCTGAATCCATGTTTGAATTTCCCGCCCTAAAGCATTTTTAATTTTCCCGCTATTTACTAGTGGCGCCATCATAGACTGGTTGTGGTTACAATCGCCCAAATAACTTTTACCGAACAAAAAAAATACATTGAGTTACACGTCTCGCGGGATTGTCTCTGAAGTGGGAGATTTACCTAACTTGAAGTCACTTCAAATCCTACAGTTTCTTGAGAAAATAGGATTGGAAGGGTCGTTATAGACATTGAGACATTTTCTTAGTGCATTGGCGATAGAAGGGGGCACAATAGATCTTTTAGGTCGCAGTGTATTAACACCCCATTTTCAACATAACATAACATAAGTAAAGAAGATCTAATTCAACAAAAATAAAATGCAATACAGGAATTGTTTTCCATCTTTATCAATGCAAATATCAAGTCTCTGTCTAGTTGAATTGACAGCAGCCTCTATTCAACCTTAGGAATGTGATCAATTACAGAAAAAAATGAAGTGATTGCCATCTGATTGGGAACGGTTGGAAAAATAACTAACTGTTCTTCGGATTTTAAATCTGGGGTATGGCCACATGAAATATTTTTAATAACATTCTATTTAACATTTGTCTGGCTTGAAATTTATATCTATTAATTATGTATTTTTCGCGGCATAAACCAACATGAACGTTTATGATAGATTATGTTATTTAGACCAATCAGACATGTCTAAATAAATTTTAAATTTAATTCTAATTTTATTTTTAGCTATTTTGGGGGCTGGTAGAGGGCTGAAAATATAATTTTAAAATTACATGCAGTTTTATAAGGAAACGCAGCTTTTAAATGCTATAGCAAATTAAAATTTTAACTTTCATTATTTCGGTCCATCCTACTGTATAATTAAAATTATTTTTAAATTGT